GATGGGTAGATGCAAAAAGCTGATATTGATGGGAATTGACTAAAATTTGTAGGGCCCCCCTCCCCCTAGAAGTCACAGTCTTCATCAGACTCCAGAATTCCAAAAGTTACATCAGGCACACTCTGCAAGTGCAGTTGTTTTCTGGGTGGGGAATCAGGTTTTTGATACTCCTTTCTTTGCCATTTCCCCTCACACTTTCTGTGCTAGTGCATTTTAATGTGTAAACTATCTTTCTACTTTTTTAGAGCTTTGCTTTTCTATAGCACTCTCCTTTTCTTTCACTAATATTATTTTGACCCCCTTCTGAAAATATTTATATATATATATTAAGATTTTAATGTACATTTGGCACTGTATCTTGTTCTTTTATGTTCCTTTTCCTTTGTCATTTTTTATGATATTGATGTGTTTTTTCATGTTACTAGCTTTCCTTGAATTTTTGGTGATTCTTGTCAGTCCATTCATAACTAAGAGTGATGCGCTAACAAGCTGTTTGGAAGATCTGTGTGCACGTATGCATGTGTAGTGGAGCAAGGGAGACATAGAACTGGTGAGCTTTATTTATCTGTGTTAAAGCTAGTTTCGTTAAGGTAAGTTTCCTTAATAGGCACTGAACTGTACAGATATGTAAGTCTTTGCTTTTGAAATGCTATGCTCCACATGGAAAAACCCTTCAGTTTTCTGATTGAGAGCTATAAGCCTTATTGTGAGGTTTTCTAATGTCCTTATATCTCTTCTCCAGTTTTGAAAAATTATTATAGAACATCTCTTGCGCCACTTCATCTCTCCAAATCTCTCCAGAAAATAGCCCTCCAGCCTTTTGCTCAGGTGGTACTGAGGTTCTGATTGTGTAACATCTCTTAAAAATTTTTTGGCAATACTGGAGATTACGCTAAGGGCCTCACATTTGGCTAAGAAAGTGCTCTACCACCTAAATCACACTTTGGGCACAATTTTTTTTTATTTTTAGGTTTTTTAAAAAAATTGAACATTCTAACATACAGAGATACTTCCTACTTCCCTTTCCTGGAATTTCCAATGGTGAGTTGGCATATTGTTGTTTTTTCTGTTTCAAGTTCACACAATCACTCTTCTATCTGCAAAGTCACATAGGAGTCAGTAATGATTTACTGACCTGTTCCAGATTCCAAAGTTTGGTTGAGCTCTCATTTGCTATCATTTTCTATTCTTTTACAGCAGAAATGAATATAATTTACCTTCTTAACTCAAATTTAATAGAGTTTTCAGGAAAAGAAGCTAGTAATGGGTGTATGTAATCTGTAGAGAGAGAATTCTCTCTGCCCTTAAATTACATTTGACATGATTCCTATGGCTTTTATTTATTTTAAACAATGGCTCATATTAGTAAGTATGTACAGTTTGTGTCAAATGAAAGATCTGAAGTTAATTTTCTTATGATAAATGCTTTTATTAAAAATTGAGTATTAACACTTTTTAGCTCAATACTTCTAGTCTCTTTCTCCTGTCTTTGTACCCTTTTCTTTTATACTGATCTTTGTTATTGCTGTCTGGCTCTACCAGAGTCTTTCTCTAAGTGTTGCTCTTGACTGATAACCATCAACACTGTTCTGAAGTCCTTAAGAAAATGGAATGATGGGGAGAAGTGCTTTGGGCTATCTCCTGCTGATTCCCTCTGAAGTTTAATTGTTCTTGTTTTTCCCATCTCAGAATATGAAGTAACATTTGTGACTGCCACATAACTCACACATATCTCCTAGATGCCTTATTAATCTAATTGAACTTGTTTTGCGTATTTATTTCATGCCTCATAGTTTGTGGTCTGCTAAGTATTCTATTTTTTTTTTAAATCACTGCTATAATCCTCTTTAAGAAGTCTCTCCTGTCACTTCTATGGTTTGGCAGAAGTGAGGTTGAGGCATGAAGAGAGTATATATCTATGTTTTAAACATCTAAAAACCATAGATTCCATTATTTGAGGGGATGTGGTAGTGGGGGGGTTTGAACTCAGGGTCTTGCTATCACTTATCTATGTCTCCAGCCCTTTTAGCATTGGTTAATTTTAGATAGGGTCTCACATTATGCCTAGGCTAGACCATGATCCTTCTATATGTGCCTCCTTGCATAACTGGGGTGCAGGCATCTGCCACCATATCTAGCCATTGGTTGAGATGGGGTCTAACAAACTTTTAATTAATTAGTTTCTTAATTACAGTTAAGTAATGAATCTTAACAACTTTTATAGATGAATTTACAGCATGGCTTTAATTTCATCTCCCAATTCATATAGGACAATACCTAGGATAAATTAAATATGTAATAAAGAATATGAAGAAAAGAAGAAAGTGTTAAATAAGGATGACATATTTCTCCAGAAATATTTTGCTTCTCCATCAAACTCAGTTTCTCAGATGAAAGATTTTATAAGCAATTCATTCAAATATACATAATGAATAAGAAGTAGAATCAGAAATCAAAATGGAGTTTTTTCCCCCAATGTTTGTTGTTTCCTTTTAATACTTCTCGTTTCTAAGAACTGCTACTTAATATTTTTAAGTAGATGACGAACTTTGCAGATACAGATTATCTATTACTGAGAAGGCTGAAGGGACAGGGTAGAATTTTCAAGGCTAATGTAGAAATTTAAAAATATAATATTTTTATTTACTGAGTAAAAGTAAGTAACCATTGTGAAATGCCAGGTAACTTCGTTTGGGATTCTTTTGGATTTCACCATTAATTTCCAAAAAATATAGTTAAATCTATGTTAGACTGACCCTTTATTGATTCTTTGAGAAATTAAAATATTTAGACACAGTCCTAGCTTTAGAAATGGAATAAAGGAGAATGTAGTCTGTGAAAAATCAACATCACTTGGTACAAGTATTTTATTAATGTGGGTAGAACTGTTCTTGTAGCTAAGACTCCACTTAGTTAGGCATCACTAACTGCCCCACTTCACACTTCCATCCAGAAGGACATCAGGAGAAATGTTCATTATGGTTATATATGAATGTATGAGTTTGGAGGTGAGGGTCTGAGAGACTGATTTCTTCTTCATGGATATTCATTAGAGGGTTCACAAAAGGAGCGATGGTTCCATTTGGTACTTCAAAACAAGTAGGATAGCACCCTGACTGAATAGACAGTGACATTAGGTGTAAGGGATTCACATTAAGTGACAATAAGCCACAGAAGGTCATGAGTGTATGAGGTGAAAGGGAAACCGCAAGTCTCTAGGTACTGTTGAACTGTGGTGTGTGTGGAGATGGATGACAGACTGTAGGGAAGAGGGTTGCTGGAAGTGAAAGTGACTAGTGAAACATGGTCTCTTATTTCACATCCTAGAGGACCTTAAAAAATAGGATGGATGGTTTGATGAGTATTTTTTGATTGAATTACTGAATTAGCAGTTGGCTACATTCTCCTTAATCATCCAATTCTTTACAATCCTCTCATGCCACTAAGTCTTGCTCTGCATTCCCTTTGATCCTGTTTACTAGTAGCTTCTATCCATTTTTCAAAGATCTCTGAAGGCAATCCTAATTTCTCTTTCCTGGATTCAAGCATTCAGATATAATATCACCAACAACCATTGACATTCTTACAATATGAATGCCAATATGATTACTGGTACTGTCTTTCTTTAACTAAATCACCAAGGGCTTTTAATCACTTTCCATAAAAATGTTTTTCTTACGGGATACTTAAAACATGTTCATTGCATATAAATAGCACATTTTCTTAATTCATTCATCAATGTGGTATTTATATACAGTGAAATTTTATTCAGCCACAAAGAAGAATGAAATTTTGTCATTTTCAGGTAAATGGATAGAACTGGGGAACATCGTCTTAAGTGAAGCTGGCCAGATTCAGGAGGCCAAAAGCCACATGTTTTCTCTCATATACAGAATATAGAACTAATATAAATACAACAATATTATGAACAACAGGTCACGCTAAGGAGAGGTTATATATGAGAGGGGTAGGGTAAAAGAAGGAAATTAAGAAGGTAAATATAGTTGATGTACTTTCTATACAAAAATGAATATAGAATTTTTAAACTGGTTGAAACCACCAGAAGAAAAAGACTAAGGTAGAATGAAGAAAAGTGGAGGCAATGAACTAAATGTCATGAGGAAACTCCCTGTGTGCTATCTTAAACAAGCAAAAATACAATTTTTTCTTTTTCCTTCTACAAAATCAAAGAACAGGAGGGTAGAACAGGTCCTTCCCAGGAGGAGGTTGGTAACAGTGAGAGGGGAGAGGTGGCTGAGAAAGGGTACAGGAGGGTGAATATGGTGCAAATACTGTGTACATGTGTATGTAAATGGAAAAATGATACCTGCTGAAATTACTCCAGGAATGGGGGAAGGAGGGATAAAGGAGAACAGTGGAGGGGGTGAGTTCAAATATGATATATTTTTGTAAATGCCACAATGTACCCCACTCAGCACAACAATTTAAAAAAGAGAAAAAATATCCACTTTCCCATATGGCTAACCTTGAACTTATATTTTAAAAATCCACATTTCAAAGGGCTGCTGAGTTTTACAGATGCTTCTGTCTGGTATCCATTTTATTTATGGTGACTAAGATGCATAAGAACTGCAGAAGATGAATAAGTATTAAACCTACATAACTCTAAATGGGTAAGGGGAAACCCTATGTTCAAAACGTGTTATAGATTATACTTAAGACTTCGCTGTTCCCCAGAGCAGTCTTCCCTCACTAATTATGTTTGTTCTCCTAATCTCATTCTGTCCCAGCTGCTCAGGAAGACAGCCCATTTACTTCCCAACACCAGCAAGTTCCTCATCCCTGTTCTTTTGTTTGTGCTTTGGAGAACCATCTCCGTTTCTCAAGTGGCTGAATTTGTAGACCCTTTGATCCTTCTTCATGTCACACAATCAGTGTTTAATCAGATCCAGAATCTTAACTATAGTGATCGTGGTCACTGCTTTGCATTCTCCTGTCTAGAGAATTTTGTAAGACCCTATCTGACAGGGCACATCCTGTCAGGAGAGTTTTCGGCCTATTGCCCTGCACAGAGCATCCCTGACCTCTTTGTTTCTCAGAGTGTACACCACAGGGTTCAGGAGGGGAGTGATAACAGTATAGGTCACAGAAATCAGCTGATCCTCATTCCTAGTGTTCTCTGACTTAGGCTTGAGGTAGGCAATGGAGGCACAGCCATAGTGGATGATAACCACAGTGATATGGGATGCACAAGTGGCAAAGGCCTTCTTCCTGCCCTCAGCAGAGGCTATCTTGAGGATGGTGGATATAATGAGAACGTAAGAGATGAAAACCAAGCCCATGGGAATCAAGATCACCAACACACTAATGATCAAAGTTAGGATCTCATTGGCAGTGGTGTCAATACAGGAAAGCTTCATAACAGGTCGGATGTCACAGAAAAAGTGGGCCACTTTGGTGGTACAGAAAGGTAGCCTGAACACAGCTAACACTTGTGTCATTGCTATAATGAGGCCTATGCTGCAGGCTCCCCCCACCAGCTGGAAGCATACTCTCTTGCCCATGATGAGTGAATATCTCAGAGGGTTGCAAATAGCCACATAGCGGTCATACCCCATTGCTGTGAGCAGGAAACAGTTGTTGATGGCCAAAGTAATGAAGAAGAACATCTGAGTGGCACAACCAGCCAAGGAGATGGGCTGACTCAGGCTTATAAGGTTTAAGAGCATCCTTGGTATAATGACAAACGTGTACACAGTCTCTGAAGCTGACAGCACACTGAGGAAGAAGTACATGGGGGTGTGGACGTGATGATCAAGGCTAATGATAGTCACAATGATGGCATTTCCTGCCACGGTTAGTATGTACAGTGTAAGGAACACAGCAAAGAGTGTAAGTTGTTGCTCACAGAAGTTGGAGAAACCCTGAAAAATGAACTCACTCACCAAAGTGTAATTCTCTTTCTTCATGAAATCATATACGGTATCTAAGAAAGAAAAAAAGTTTATAAGGATTCCAAATATGTGGTTTTGTCAAAAAGTAGAGTGGGTAAATCCTTGTGGTTAATGTACCACAGGTTTCTGCTTATTTATACATGCATTCATACTTATTTCTTTGGGGAAGTAGAAAGCTGAGAAGTGTTCTTTCCTCAGAAAGAAGCAAGTACATGGCTTTCAGAATTATATGTCAGAATTACATGTTGTAAACTCATTTCCTTCTTTTATTATGTGCTAGCTTATCTTGGGCAAGCATTGAACATGTCTAAGATGAGTTTCTTCATCTTCATATGGGTGTAGTGATGATAAAATCAGAGGATTGTTGATAGAGAAAAATTTTATGTTGCTAAGTATAACACTTAGATTGAAATGTAAACAATATTGAGTAATTTAAGTTCAATGGTATCATGAAGCATTCCAAGCCCTGTGACTACTAATTCCTAAGCTCCTAGGCTTTGGATGGAGCTCTTGCTACTGTGACTCACACACTGCTTTTTTACACCAGTCTTTTGACTCTGATGCTGCTGCTTCTCTCAGATCTTCCCTATTTTCTTCCTTAGATACCACTCATGTTTAAAAACAAACAAACCTTGTCCTCTGTGAAATCCTTTTCTCCTTACCTCCCACCTCAGGTCTATCTGTCCTTGCATATCTGGGTTGCAAAGCACAGTTTACTGTTTTTTAAAAATTATAAGCACATTATAGTGCATTAGTAATTATGAAATTTATTCACATACATTATTTAATTTCATTATCATCCAATGGACCAAGCAGGACTAATTACTGTTTCTCCTCAGTTGCAGAATCTGAGTCTAGCTGTGTTTAGGGAATTGACCAAAGACATACAGGTATCAAAGGACTAAACTAAGATTGAAATCCATGCCTCTGATTCCTTGTAATTGTTCCTCTCACTACACAAAACTGCAATATAGAACTGTCTCCATCACAGCTACACAGGACTATGTGTTCCCATTCTTTATGATCACAGGGTGGCCACTGCAATGTAGGACACAAATATCTGCTGAAATAATCATTTCAAATCATTTCTCCATCACACAAGTTGCCTATTAGGCAATTTAGCAGAATGCTGGAGCACCATAGTGAGATTTTTCTTTAAAGAATGGAAGGCATAAGTGTTTTTAACCTCTGTCTCATTTTCCCTGATGTCTATGTATGCCTGTGGCAGCAATAAACAACTAAATAATCAGGCTACATTTCAACATTGGGATTATAACATTATAATCCTTGGAGAAAAATAGAACATTATAATTGGAAAACATACTGGTCATGCAACTTTTCCAGTAGCCTTTGCCCTGTTACCAGAGAACATATAATTACGTAATAGGTTAGTTATAAAAAGTAAGTTTAAAAATAGGATGATGGAGTCACTTCAAACATGCATTTTGCTGGAAGTAAAGCAAATGAACCACATTACAAAATGATTTATTATTGGGTAAATTTCAAAGGTAAGCTTCTTTAGTGCTTTAAAAATTATATTTAATTTAGCCATTTTCATAAGTATACCATTTTTCATAAAATAAATTTACAAAAGTTATTTTTTAGAAATCAGTGTGTACAGTTGTGCTGCAACCCTTCAGAGCATGATATGAAAAGAAATCAGATGGATCTGCAAAAAAGTAAATCTTAGATGTCAGAGACTATTTTTTGATAAGGAAAGTTGTTTGACCCTAATGTGTATAACATGGCAAGTAACTATAAACATGGTTTATGAAGCCTTATAATCCATGTCTCTGTAGATTATGAATTGTCTGAAGACAATAATCTAGACAAGGTAAGTAGCAGAGTCACATTTTTTATTATCATTTTAGTTGAGATATTCTTTAACCCTGGAAACTCATCATTTATTGGGATTAAAAATCTTTGAAAGTGAAAAACAAAGGGGAAAAAACAAATATTCTTAAATACCAGGGATCCTGTCCAATTTAGTAGTTTGACCCTTTAAGAACAGTAAAACACATACATGTATTTTACTTCTCATATGGCACCACTGAAGTTTTTTTCCAGAGTCTCACTTACGTCTCTCCCTGTGAATCTGTGGATCAACAGAAAAAAGGAGGTAACGGTCAGAGATGTGGCCCATGGATCACAAATATTCACAAATCTGAGTCATGAAGAGAAGACATCTGAATGTGATGACATCTGCCACAAGATAAGCCAGGGGTGGAGGTAGAGAGAAAGATACAAGGAGGTCTTTGGATGCTAGATTTTTTTCCTCCAGTTAGAGGTGGAGATTTTGATGCCAAAGAAAGGTTCTCCAAGGAGTAGCTTCTGGGTTTTTGGGTGCTGTTCTCTGAGCACTTTGAGAGTCACCTTGGGACTAGGTGGCAGGAGACAACTTATGCCAGGGGACCTTGTTACGTGTGAATCACATTCACCAGATTACTTGGATTTGTGCTCTCGGAGTCTTAAGGCTATTTTTTCACTTCAAGTAGGAACAACAGTGGCTTATTTTTCAGGTTTCTTTTTTTAAATAAATTTACTATTTTTATACAGTTGAGCCTTGGAAAAAACATGGTTACAAAGCCCAAGTGAGCTCTAGGTACAGCCACTGTCTAGGGAACTATGCAACTCTCACTGTGAAGAACTCTGCTCTATGATAAGAAGCTAGATTCCCTACTCCCCTCTTTCTGAACTAAAATAATCAATTTTGGCTATAGTTTTTGTCCTGTAGGAATCAGAGATGGTAGATCAACACTCAGAAGACAATAGAAACTTCTCTTGAAGATCAGGAGACCACTGAGTGTCTAAACAACCTGAGCTAGAACATTATCCTCAGATACCATTGGACAAATAATTAAGCACACTGAGCTTCATGATCCCTGTCTGGGGTTCTCTTAGTACTTGTTTCCCTGCTCCAAACCCATGTGCTTTCCTGGAGAGCATTTTACTGTTTTTTCTTTCATGTCCACCCCTTCATCAGATCCTGCCAAATCTCTTCCAAGTTAATTTTTCCATACCTGGCAAAAATGAAGTGCCTACATTCATATCATGATAAACTCAAAAATGTCCCATGTACTTATTCTGTTTGTTTGTTTTTGTACTTCCTATTCTTTCTCTCCTGAATTTGTGATGCCTTTTAAATTTAAAAAATTATGAAATGAAAATTTTATAGCAAATATAAAAATGTTATTAACATTTGCTCCTATTGTAATGAGTTCTGGGGACTTAAGTTAATGAAATACTACCCAAACTAGTTTTTTAGAAGTTTCAAACACTTTAATTAAATTAGCATTGATAGAGTTAGCATCCAAACTTCTCTTCTTGTTGTTTGTAGCTGAGTAGAATCTTTACATGAATTATAACCTGCAATGTTTTGGGGGGTAAAGTATTATTGGACAATCCCTCATTTTCTGGTACCTTGTGGATTAAAAGTTGTTTTCTTTCTCTGCTCTAATGAGGGGGAACAAATCATCACTGAGGCCAAATTATCAAGTTTTTATAACTAAGAGTTCATTGGAAACACAAGTCAGTACTGAATAAAAAAGATCTGCCATAATGGAATGGGGATATAAAACCCCTTGCAGCAGAGACAATTTGGGCAGCTCTATCAACACAGAAACAGGGCAGAGAGAGAGAGATTTGGATTGCAAAAATTTTAAAATTGAATTTAGAATACTATGCTTATAAACAACCAGGACACAAAGCAGGACAGGAATTAGGAGTCTGCTGGAGGTCGACAACTAAATGACCTCCAGCTACTGGACAGCAGTTTTCTGAAGGTTTGGCTGCATGAACACTAGAAAATGGTATGTCCTGAGACTGTGCTTGGTGCCTTTACCTCAGCCCAGCACTGAGTAGAATTGTCCATGAGCACAGATGTAGTTATCCAAATTTAAAGGTGCTTGTATTGAACCCCAGATGTTCCAATCATCTATTGCTGTATAACAAACCACCTCAAACTTAGAAGCAACAGTAATCATTTACCACTGTCTCTGTAGGGGTGTGAGCTCAGTAGGCTGCTCTCATGTAGCATCTCTCATGTAGTTTAGGTCTGGAGGTAGCTAGGGTTTGCTCACTCATATGTCAGTTAGTTGACATTAGCATGAAATGCCTATAAATAGCCTCCTCATGTGATCTGGGCTTCCTCATTTCAGTGGTCAAGCAGTCACAAGGGTCCACCCAGTCCTGTTCATGTATCATTGGCATGCTATGAAAAAAAAAAAGCATGTGAAATGAAGAACATGTATCCATTATTTGAAAATACAGTAAGACACAGTGAATTAGCAGATGGACACTGTATTCTCATAGAGAATTTAAGCTAGTTGTCCCTAAATGGGACAGAAACCAAAATCAAAATTATACTAATCAAACTTTAGATTCTCCCTACTGAAGTGTTCATTTAAACCTGATTATAGGCATTCATAGAAAATTGAAGGGAGATCCCAAAAAGGGAGATTATAGATCACCTGCAAAATTAAGGAATTTGAGGTGATATGAATTGGAGTTGAAAAAACAAAAGGAATATACATTTAGTGAACTACATATTTATAAAAGGCAAACAAAAATTCTTAAACAGACATTCTGCTGTTCCAACAGATATATGTGTCTCTTCAGTTCAGAAGTACAGGTCTGGAAGATCCAAGATGGTGACTAGAGGGCAGAAGCAGACAGTGTGAGCTCTATAAATCAAAAATTTTGCTGAGACACTGGAAACATGCTTGGCAGAAAAAAATCACCAGGAAAAATCAAAACTCCAACACCCTGAATCCCCAGCCTGTACAAAGCTTCTCCATGCCATGCTACAGTGAGAAAACAAGAGGGCTCCTGCACCAACAGATGCTGGCTCCAAACCTGCTGGGAGATGTATAACAACAGTTTTACTATTGTAAGTTAGCTAATACTAAATTACACAGAGACCAGGGACAGAAACAGCACCAAGTGTATTGATGGGAAGATGAAAAGGGATGGAAACCATTCTCCCCACAAAAACAAATTAATACAGGATGCAGAGT